GGCAGAGGGCCTGGATTTTAATCCTCGTCTAACTGTGACTTTGTGTGAAGGACTTAGAGCAGCGGTTCTCAACCTTCCTCACGCCGCGACCCTTTCATAATACAGTTCATGTTGTGGGGACCCCCAACCATAAAATTATTGTCGTTGCTACTTCATAACTGTAATTTTTCTACTGTTATGAATCGTCATGTAAATATCTGATATGCAGGATGTGGTTTCATGGTTCGCGACCCACAGGTTGAGAACCGCTGCTAGGTGACGCCCTGGGGAGCCTCCCCTGGTCCTTTCCTCCAGCAGGGGGCGCGCTGCCCCTCTGTCTGGATCCCGTAGGGCCACGGACACTTCTGTCACTCCTGGTGACATGCCCCCCACAGCCCCGCCCTCGGCCATGCTCGTGTCCCCGGAACTTCAGGAGCGACCCCAGATGGTAACTGAGCTGAAATTGCTAAGCGGCTACAGGAGAGACGGAGGGAGGTCTGAGGCCTAAGCGAGAGAACAGCTCCCGACCCTTTTCCGTGAGGTCTGTGTCCGCGGTGCAGTGTCCCCCTGAACACTGGGGGCGCCACGCGGCCGTGAGGAAGGCTGCCCGCGGCAGGAGCTGTGGGGTGGCACCGGACCTTCAGGAATCGCGGGGGACAAGTTAGGAAAGCAATCGCTATGTAAACCAGCACAGCGCTGCAGGGGAAGAAAGTGTAATGTGGGAGGAAAGGCAGGGTGTGAATCTGGGAAACTTGGGCCGTTTCCACGAAATGAATAAGAGGCTGTTCTTAGGTGTTTCCAGGATGGACACATGGATGTTGTAACAAAACAAAAGGAAAGCCTAGTAAAATATTCACATTGTGTTTCCACACCAAATACACCCCCTGGGGGAGACAGACGCGAAGGATGGCTGTCAGCGCCGGAACCAAGGGCGTGTTTTTGTGGCAGGTGTAAGCTGAGGCCAGATGTTTTTATAACCGGCATGAGAACGTAAATGCCTTGGCCGTTCGGAGGAAAGAACAGGGCTGTGGTCTTCCTACGTAAAACCATCGTGGCAAAGCAGAGGCCCTCCTAGCCCCTCTCGAGGACAGAGACATCACACACCAGGGAAGGACAGAACACAGCCTTCGCCATGGCCCCCGGAGGCTGCCCTGCCCGGGGTCCTGGGACCCCAGAGGTGGGATTCAGACAGGCATTGCTGAGAGGGGGGCGTAGGAAACAAGCCCCGATAGACCGGGGGCTGGTTAGAAGCAGGCGGAACCGGCCATCAGTCCGGTGGATTCCGGGCAGGCGGACATTCCGCTGACAGATCCGGTGGTGGCGCTGGGCCCTAACTGAATCCGGCTCTGCCGAAAGGGAGACCAGCAAGACTGGCACTTCTCTGGATGATAAATTGAGGGCGGTTTATCATTTGAATGATAAATCTCATCTCAATCTTTGAAAAAAGATCTTTTGAAGGAGCCCTTTAGAACTGGTCCTAACCTGCTGAGGTCTGTCTGGTTGAGGGTTTGGTTCCAAACCTTTGCAATAAAGCAAGTCATAACCTTTGTGCTGGTGGAGGGTTTTGCCTACAATTTAAAAAAAAAATCTATAAAGCACAGTAAAACAAAGCACAATAAAATGAGGGACGCCTGTACACTGAAAACTACAAATCGTTGCTGAAAATGTTGTAAAAGACACAAATAAATAGAAAGACATCCTGTGTGCATGGATTGGAAGATTTAATATTGTTAAGATGTCAGCACTACACAAAGCAGTCTACAAATTCAATGCCATCGCTATCAAAATCCCAATGGAGTTTTTTGCAGAAATAGAAAAATCAATGTTAAAATTCATTTGGAATCTCAAGGGATAGCGAATAGCCCAATTAATCTTGAAAAGGAAGAACAAAGTTGGAGGTTTCACACGTACTCATTTCAAAACTTATTAGAGCCCTGACCAGTGCACTCAGTGGTTAGAGAGTCGGCCCGTGCACTGAAGGGTCTCGGGTTTGACTCCCAGTCCAGCGCATGTACCTGGGTTGCAGGTTCGATTCCCGGCCCCGGTCAGGGCGTGTGTGGGAATCTCTCTCACTCGATGTTTCTCTCTCTCTCCCTCCCTTCTGCTCTCTCTTAAAAAAAACACGCAATGGAAAAAATATCCTCAGGTGAGGATTAACAACAACAACAAAAAAAACCCACACCTTATTACAAAGCTCCAATAACCAAAACAGTGTGGAACTGGCATAAAGTCGGACAGACAGACCAATGAATATCATAGGAAGCCCAGAAATGAACCCCGGCATAAAGCACCAAATGATTCTTAACAAGGGCGTCAAGGCCATTCTGTGGGAAAAGGCTGTCTTTTCAGCAAATGGTGTCGGGAAAACTGAGGATCCACAGACAAAAGAGTAGTTCATTTTAGCTCAAAGTGCGAGCTAAAACTATAAAACTCTTAGAAGAAAACATAGGAGAAAAGCGTCATGACACTGGATTTGATGATTTCTGGGATATGATACAAACATATAAGCAACTAAAGAAAAATGATATAAATTGAACTGCATCAAAATTAAGAACCTCTGGGCATCAAAGAACGCAATCAGCAGAGTGAGAAATACAATCTACGAAATGGGAGAAAATATTTGCAAAGTATATATCTGATAGGAGGTTATATCCAGAGTATATACAGAACTCCTACAACTCAACAACAACTACCTGGTTTTTAAATGGCAAAGGACTTAAATAGACACGTCTACAAAGAAGATCGACACATGACTAGCAAGCACGTGAAAAGATGCTCACCATCCATCACCAACCATTAGGGAGAGGCAAACCAAAGCCACCGTGGTACTGTCTCACACCCACTAAGATGGATGTTGTCAAAAACAAAGCAGCCCTGGCCAGGGGCTCCATTGGTTGGAGTGTTGTGCTGTACACCAGAACGGTTGCGGGTTCGATCCCCTGTCGGGGCACGTGAGGGAGGCAGGCGATCGGTGTTTCTATCTCACATTGATGTTTCTTCCTCTCTCTCTTCCCCTCTCTAAAATCAATAAACATTTCTCGGGTGAGGATTTTTAAAATAATAATAAATAATAAAAGATTTTTAAAAAACAAAAATACCAAGTGTTGGTAAGGATGGGAAGACACTGAAGCCTTTGTGCCCTGCTGATGGGAATGTAAGATGGAGCGCCTGCGATGAAACGCAGTATGGTGGTTCCTCAAAAAATTAAAAATAGCCCTAACCGGTTTGGCGCAGTGGATAAAGCGTCGGCCTGTGGACTCAAGGGTTCCGGGTTCGATTCCGGTCAAGGGCATGTACCTGGGTTGCGGGCACATCCCCAGTAGGGCGTGTGCAGGAGGCAGCTGATCGATGTTTCTCTCTTATCGATGTTTCTAACTCTCTATCCCTCTCCCTTCCTCTCTGTAAAAAATCAATAAAATATATATTTTTAAAAAAAATAAAAAATAGAACTACCACTTGCTCCTCAGTCCCACTGGTGGGTACATATCCAAGGTATTGACAGCAGAGTCTCAAAGAGATATTGGTTCCCCCGTGTTCATAGAAGCTTATTCACAACAGCGAGACGGTAGAAGCAACCCACGTGTCCATCCGCAGATAATTAGACAAACAAAATGTAGTATGTGCATCCAGTGGAATAAATATTCCTTCAAAGGTAAGGAAATTCTGACTGACACATGCTACAGCACGGATGACCCTTGGGGACATCATGTTACGGGAGATAAGCCGGTTGCAAAATGGCAAATGCTGTGTGACCCCCCTTCTCTGAGGTCCCCAGAGCAGGAACAGAAAGTAGTGTGGCCGGTCCAGCGGCCGTGGGTGGAGGAATGAGCAGTTAGTGTTCGATGGGTACAGAGTTTGTTTTGTCAGATGAGTTTGGGAGATGGATGGGGTGATGGTACCACAACAATGCGGATGTACGGCATACCACTGAGCCGGACACTTACAAATTGTCAAGATGGTACATATTATGTGTATTCTATCATGACTTAAAGTAAAATTTCAAGTTAGTTCAATTTAAAAATGAAGCAATACAGCCCTGGCTGGTTTTGCCCAGTGGATAGAGCAT